TCGGTGACTGGGGTAATCGGGATGGGTGTGTCAGAGGCAGTGTGGTTGGCACAGGATAGAGCAGGGTTTAGGGCTGTTGTGCATAGGGTCGCTGAGTCGCAAACGACTCGATGGCACATAACAACAACAACAACAACCCACATAAAAATATATAATGAATGTAACTATTATATTAGTGGTGCACATGAATCAAGGTGTGATTCGTTCATAAGATACTATATTCTAAGTTAAAAGCAAAAATCTGCAGCTGAAAAATGTTTGCTGATTTTTAAAATTCTGGAACTTTAAGTCCTATGCTTTTACTTGTTTGTCCTGCATTTCCTATTAAAGTCACAGGTAAACCTTTATACTAATAATAGAGATCATGTAATATGTGTTATTTAATCAAATACAAACATAAGAGGCAATTGCTTGAAGCAGTCTGACTCTGTGATACCCATTAAAAATTAGTGAGAAACAGCCTGTAATTATTGGATATGAAGTTTTGATTCTGATAGTTTCACCATAAATATGAAGTGAAAAAACTTAAATATATTTTTAGAAATCCTTAAATAATAGGACACATGCTATTATTATGTCTACATAGACCATCCTGCTGTGAACATATTAACCACAAGGCCTCCATATAGGATAGCTCCTTTTATCCAATCATTGTCTAGGAAATGAATGTTCTACATTTACAAAAATACCCATCCAGTTCAACCCAGACCCAGAGAGCTAAGTTAAACATTCAGAAACTTCAGGGACAAAAGATGCTGATAGTTTTTATTATCTCTACTTGTTGGCAAGAAAGTTGTGATAAGGAGAATTACATATTATGGCATGGGGGTAAATGTCAGAGCTCATTTTCTAGTACCTTCTAATTTTTGTGGATGCACTTACTCAGTGACTTGTGTTGATTCTTCTTCTTTTTTTTTTACTTTAACTTTTCTCAACAGAATAGGTAAACTGTGTTTGACTGATGAATCAGTGTATTCTGCCCACTTTATTATTTCCCTCTCGATATAAGTCTGGCATCAACTGTGCATGGAGTATGGATGGCAGTTCTCATGAACGTATGAGCACTGATGGTTTACAAGGGCCATGTGCTTCATTTACATGGTCTGAAGGAATGATAGTGGATGGAAAGGCAAAATTACATTTGTTCTTACCTGGATTTGCTCAAAAGGTACTTCAAAGCTGAATGACTCATTATAGTAGGGGTTAAGTGTGTTCTTCTTAATTGTTGTCTTTTTCTTCTTCAGCCTTTTGCCGTTCTGCATCAGGTGGATCTTCACATAAGGATCTGAAAAACAAAAACAAAAACAAAAATCAGGGGCTCAGGTTGTAATTTAGATAATGATCATAATTTAGTTTGTAAGAAGATAATATTTTTTGTAACAAGTAAATAATTTTAGAGGAAATATTAGAATCTTTTTAATGACAAGATTTTGTAAAATTAAAAGACTTTACACAAACTCTTAGACATAGTTTAGACATGGTCTTAGACATGGATTTTGTAATATTTCAGTATTTACAGTTGAATTGAGAACAAGTATCTATAAACCAGCTCTTTCAAAAAGTTCTTGATATGTAATATTTGCTAATGTCCGTGATGTAAATACTTTGACCATAACCAATTTCAAGAGAGCAACAGTGTAATAACTGCATTACAAATACCTAAAAGTTTTAACAATTAGTTCTCATTTGCAAGCATAGCTCTGGCAGTCTAGTGGGTAAAGAGTCGTGATGCCAAGCCAAAGGTACATGGTTTGAATCTACTAGCTACTCCACAAGCAAAACATGAGCAATCTCCTCCCATGTGATTTGCTGCCTCTGAAAACCTGCTAGAGGGTTAACTATGAGTTGTTTTTGACTTGACAGCATACAACAAAAATAAGCAAGTGAAGAGCTAGCTCCTGCAAAGGGGACAAAGGATTTGAACTGTACATTGTTGGGTTGGCAGCACAACTCCTTTCCATTAAGCCACCAGAGCTAAGACTTCCAAATTTTCTCTCTTCTCTTTGGAGCATATGACATTAGAAGAAGCTAGAAATGGCCCTAACTAATTTCCATATAAAGAGCCCAGGTGGTGCAGCGAATCATGTATTGGGCTCCTAATGAAAAGGGGGGTGGCCAGTCAATCCACCAGCAGCTCCAAGGAATAAAGATGAGCAGTGTCCTCCTGTGAACATTTATAGACTTGAAACATAACGGAGGGTTGGTTGCTGCTAGTGAGAATCAACTTGATGGCAGTGTGTTTGGTTTGGATTTAACGGAAATATATTTTTAAAGGATAAAGTTATAAATTGGAAGTGGCTGTTTATTTTCTCTTTTTTTTCCTTATCTTTGCTCCCTCCCCTGGCAGAATAGAGAATAAGGACAAAATTGCTCAAGAACAGAAATTGTCTGCTCTGTTCACTATTTGAATTCATTAGTGTATTGCTGATTTACATTACATTTCTGAACAATTAATTGGAATCTATATTTATAATTTCCCAGCCATGTCTTATTGCTCATGATTCAGGCTCACATTGCTTAGAAATGTGTAGTTTCGGCTCCACATCCAATTAGGTGGATTTTTATCAAAATGTTTAAAAACCAGGCCTATTGTTGTTAGTGCCATAAAGTTGAGCATGGCTCATAGTTACCTGATGAACAACAAATCTGAATATTGCCCTATTTTGCCTAGATACGAGAAAACAGCTCTGTCAACTAAATTGCTGGTCAGTTAAAAAAAAATCTATTGTAAATAAACTTTAACTGAAGAGAGGAAAATGCCTTTTTCCTGTTTATTCAACTTTTTGGTCATAGCTAATCTTAGTTTTTGGTTTGAGGGGAGAGATTTTGTCTAGTAAACTTTTCTGGCTTCCCTTTTTCATCAGATTGTATTCTGTTAAGATGGTCAGGCCTTTGCTTGTTCCTTGGCATAGGCTAAAACCTATTTATGTCTCTTGCATCGTGTTACAGGAGAGCTCTGGTGCCCTAGTGGATAAAGAATCACCTTGCCAAATTAAAGGTAGGTGGTTTGAGTCAATAATCTGTTCCTTGGAGAAAAGATGGGCAATATCTTACAGCCACTGACAACCTGCTGGAGGGTCAGCTATGAGTTGGTTCTGATTCCACAGCAATGAGAAAGAGAATATTTGTGTATTGAAATTTCATCAACTTAACACATTTTCTTTTAAAAAAAATTTTTTTAAAAATTTTTTTTGTGTTTGTGCACTGTCCAATCTGACTGGTACAGGGGGAGATTGCCCCTCCTTCTCCAGCAGAGCATCTGGTGGATTTGAACCACATACCTCTGGAATTGCAGTGCAGCTTCTTGCCACTAGGCCACTAGAGCTCCCTCAAACACATTTTCTTAAGAACAGCATAATGGCTATTTTTTAATTCAGCTCTACAACACTGTTGAGTCTGAGGTACAGTGAAAAACAAAAAGGTTATGCATTTGTTATGTCAATGAGCAAACGGGAAAAAAAATCCAACACACGAAAAATCCCACAAAACTACAAAATTCAACATGAGTCTTTTAGATTTTGATATGCCCTTTGGCAAAACATGAATAATAGCTAGGGGAGAACAGGGTAGTTTGGGAAGTATAAGCAGGAATGTCTTCATTAAATTGAGCTGTTAACTACATGACAGAAAGGAAACAATCATTTCAAGATGTGATGGAAACTTGTATCAGAGAGAAGAAATAGGCATGTGCAAAGGCCCTCAGGTGCATGAGTCAATGAGTCCAGAGAGTTAATGAAAAGCCTGCTGATCTGTTACTTTTATGAGCAGAAACTGTTGGACTTTTGGAAATGATTCAGAGATAATAATCTACAGTATCATGATGTTTAAAAAATCAGAAGGATGGTGTCAATCCTTGCCTTTGCAGATTCTCTCTGATAAAGGCACCAAAGCTACTTACTCCACATGGAAAATTCTCATTTCAATCATAGATTGGCTATTACTTAGGGATTCTTTATCAGCTTTTGGACTGGCATCAATCTTGACTATCTAAACTTGTTGTGTATCATAGAGTTGGAACTGACCCATAGTTGACCCTCCAGTGGATTTTCAGAGGCAGTAAATCACATGGGGATTTGCCCATTTTTCTCCCGTGGAACAGCTGGTAGATTTGAACTGTGTTCCTTTTGCGTTGGCAGCACAGTTCCTTACCACTAAGCCACCAGAGCTACCTGATACTGGGCGAGCATATTTAAGTATCCTTTTGGATCAGCAAGCTGAATCTTAGCTTCAGTCTTGTCTATGTTGTCGAGTTCTTGATTTCTCAAGTGTCTCCTGCTTATTCATTGTAAAGAAGTCTTGTCCTTTTGGACATGACCCCAATCCCTTGCTTCGCTCATCAGTAAATTCTTCTGGATGGATACCTTGCTCCTGTCTCCTTAACTAACATCTGAGTCATCTAAACAGAAGTTGCATCTACCTGGACACACACACACACACACACACACACATTTTCAGTAAGGCTAACTTATCCTGTGATGTAGGACTCTGTATAATGCATTCTGTTTTGAGGACTGAGGTAATTCTCTTCCACAAAGCAAATAATTTGTCCTTCACAGTTTAGAGTTTCTTGGTGGCTTAGAATGGAAATGACAAAATAGGCTGAAATGCAATTTACTAATGTTGCTTTTCCTGAGTACAGGTGCAGGACATTATGGCATCCAAACAACCATTAGGTTTGTGGAAGCATGTAAATAGCTCAGAGAAATACACATGCTAGCAAACTGGGCTATTGTCCTCAAACACTCAGCATCTTTGTCATAGCCTTATTTTAACAAAATAAGCACACTGAAAGACTGAAATACCATTTAGGTAGTCATTGTCACCAATGAAGCAGGCACAAAACTTCCAATATTTCTCTTCATGTCTTTAATTTATTTTTCACAAAGAGTTAACAATTGTTTTTTCTTTTAAAAATCTTTATTAGAAAGGATGGCCTCTTTTCTGAATGTCTATCTAGCTGCTCCTAATAATGAATGACTAGCTTTTTATTTCTGCAAAATGATGGGCTGAGGTTGGAAAGACAGATCTTCATTCCTAATAATAAAGATGCTGCAGGTACAATGAGTGAGGTGTCCTTGCCTTATTTTTAAAGATTTTCAGGTCTAGCATTTGGTTTTGCTATTGATAGTACAATGTAACTGACACTGCTACCTTTTGTCTGCTATTTTCCAGAGTTTCTTTTTGTCAAAAATGAGCCTAGGTGTATTAACTTGCCTTTCTCTCACAACAGTTGTTATAATTGGAGATTTTCAAGACATTGTAAGAAAATTACCTTCAAAATTTTATATAGGTCTTCTTTTTTTATATATACAGGTCTTAATAAACCATGTTGATGTTTTCTTTTTTCCTAATCTTCATCATTGTAGTAGGCAATATAATGTCTCCCAACATCAGACATTCAGGTCCTAATCCTTGGAATGTGAATATATTACCTTACATTCCAAAAGGGACTTTATAATGTGATTAAGGTCAAGGACCGTGATATGGAGAGAGTACCCTGGATTACTCAGTGAGCCTAATCTAGTTACATGCATTCTTAAAAATGGAGAACCACTCCCAACTGTGATCAAAAAGGACACATGAAGGGTGAGTGACATGTTGCATCTCTGGCTTTGAAAATATAGAGGAAGAGGCCAAGAGCCAGTAATAAGGGTTGCCTGGGAATCTGGAAAAAACCAAAGAAACCTAGGCTGTTTTGGAGTTGTCTGAAAGAAACAAGAGCCTTGCTGACCCATTTATTTTAACCCAGGGCATGCTTCAAACATATAGAATGGCATAAATTAAATTGTGGCTGGTATGGATTAAATTCTGTTCCCTAAAATATGTGTCATAAACCCTACCCTCTATGTCAGAAGTGATGACGATGGCAGAGGACAGGATAGCCTTCAGATCTGTTGTTCATAGGGTCACAATGAATCTTATTAAATTTGATGTCAACTAACGTGCCAAAATATGTGTAGTAAATCCTATTCTCTATTGCTGTGGTTATACTCTTACTTTGTACTGGATTGTCTTCATTTTGTTAATGAATAGGATTAGTGTAGGGTGTGTTTCAGTTAATCTCTTTGGAGATCTGCAAAATATTAAATGAGAAACAAAAGAAACAGATAGAAGATGGCATGGCACATGAAGATCTCTCAGAAACAGAAGCTCAAAGAGATACACACCCTTCGAGTCCACAGAGAGAAAGCCTTCCACTGCATCCAGCACCTTAAATTAGGATGTCTTGAACTAGCCTTAGTGATAAGGAGTGGTGCTGTCAGTCCAAAGAAAGGCGTTCAAACC